CCTCACTAATTTTCTATTAACATCTAATGCAAAAAAGATTTTTAAGCATCAAGCTTTTATTCAAACTCTTATTGTAATCACTAAATATAACTGAAACATGTATTCCACAGGTAACAACTGCTTTTTCAACTCTTCGCCAGAGGAGGTCAATACATTGTTCTCAGCTCAGGGTGTTAGGGGAGTCAGCATCCCCTCACTCCCCACCAGCATTTCTAGACCATTGTCTGTAACTGTTTCCAACATTATCCTCTCTTCTGAAATTCATGCCATTAATTTCTGCTTCCTATGTAAAGTTCTCCTTGATACCCTCCCTCTAGAAAAGTTTCTGCTTCCTACATCTCATGCTACTTAATTTTTACAGCCAGGCAAAAAATTCACAAATGGACAGAATATATTTATGCTTCAAACTCCTACAATCTAAACTTCAATTGCCAATTACTATTCGTGTGTGTGAGTGTGTGTGTGTGTTTATGTGGGAGTAGGGACTGGCAGACTAATCCTGGCGCTAAGAAAGTGGAGAAAAAGAGGAACACTTGGAAATATGAATGAAAAAACAACTACATACCATGTCTTCTCAGACAAGGGAAACAAAAGAAAAAATAAACAAGCGAGAGTTCATCAGACTAAAGAGCTTCTGCAAGGCAAAAGAAACTAGGATCAAAACCAAAAGACAACCTAACAATTGGGAGAAAATTTTTGCAAATCATATATCCGATAAGAGGTTAATCTCCATAATATATAAGGAACTCACACAACTGAACAACAAAAAGACAAATAGCCCGATCAAAACATGGGCAGAGGAGATGAACAGACATTTTTTCCAAACAAGATATACAGATGGTCAATAAACACGTGAAAAGATGTTCAACATCACTAATCATCAGGGAAATGCAAACCAAAACTACACTAAGATACCACCTTATGCCTGTTAAAATGGCTATAATCACTAAGACTAAAAATAACAAATGTTGGAGAGGGTATGGAGAGAAGGGAACCCTCATCCACTGCTGGTGGGAAGGTAAACTGGTGCAGCCACTATGGAAGACAGTAGGGAGATTCCTCAAAATCCAAAAATAGAACTACCATATGACCCAGCTATCCCATTACTGGGTATCTACCCAAACAACTTGAAATCAACAATCCAAAGTAACATATGCACTGCTGTGTTCGTCGCAGCACTATTCACAATAGCCAAGACATGGAAGCAACCCATCTGCCCATCAACTGATGATTGGATAAAGAAGATGCGAGACATACATATATATATATATATATATATATATACACACACACACACACACAATGGAATATTATTAAACCAGAAAAAAAGACAAATTCATCCCATTTCCAACAACATGGAAAGACCTGGAGGGAATTATGCTTAGTGAAATAAGCCAGACTGAGTAAGACAAATATCAGATGATTTCACTCACATGTGGAACATAAACTAGCACATGGACAAAGAAAAAGAGTTCAGTGGTTACCAGGGGAAGAGGGGTGGGGAGTGGGCACAGGGGGTGAAGGGGAGCACCTACGTGGTGACAGACAGCAATAATGTACAACTGAAATTTCACAATGATGTAAACTATTATGAACTAAAATAAAAAATTTAAAAGGAATAAAACACTACATAATAATGTCTTTGGAGTAACAGGAGAGAACATTTCCCAAGTAAAGCCAAGTCTTAAGCAGCAGAAGCACAATCTGCGCTGAAAATCTCATCCAACGAAGAGACACACAGTTTTTCAACAGAAAACTCCAGAGTGTTCAAATATAAACCGCCAGCTTTCGAGGAGCTGATGTGGTCTTCTATTAGAAAAAGCCATCAGCTCGGCAGGGGAAGAAACATGCTCTCAGGATTAAGAACCTTCTCATCCTCCACTGACCCCTTTCCTTTCCAGGCAAGTGCAAGTTTGATAAATATATGCACATCCCCTAGTAAAACTTTCGACCTGCTGCAGTTTGCTTTGGTAGATAATTTTCAGATTTAGAATTAGTCACATATTTCTATAACCTTGGATCAAGAGAGCTTTGCACATAGTAGATCTAAAAGAACCCCAAGTCTGCTTAACACGTGAATTCACTAATGAACACCTCTCAGGAGGCCAAGAGCCTTGATAAGAAAAGACTAATTCTAAGGAGTGTTTGGAAATCCAAATAAAAGAAAAGAACATCTGTGTGAAATCTAAGTATCAAAAATATCAGATATAAAACAAGCTTGAAAATTAGTGAAACAAGGTGATGGAAACATGAGGGTTCATTATACTCGTCTCTCTACTTTTGTGTATGTTTGAAAAAGTCCATAATCAAAAAGTCGAAAAAATTAAGATACAAAAAAAAATTAAGAAAAGCTCTCAGAATTTCGTATGCCTTCAATAACAATGAGATGAGCTAAAACGTGGCTTAACGTGTCTAATACCTGCATAGAACCTGAATGAATATAAACGACCGGGACTAAAAGCAAAACATAAAACAAGGTGTTCTTTATTGAGGCCAGGTAAAGCCAGCCTTCTTCAAAGCATAAAATCAGAAGTTAGTTCATTAGGTTGAGAAAGCAGGTCAACATGGAGCTACTCCTGACAGTTTGTACATATAGAAGCAGTAACGGCCGGCAAGACACTCTGCAGTGTCTTTGCTGGCCAGAACTACTCTTTGCTTAATTCTAGGCCAGTAAGACAGGGAGAGGGGCAGTAGCTAGGGATAAAATTCTCTGCCCAGTGTTCTCTACCCACTTCCAAAGCATTTGTCATGATCTGCATCATCACATGCTTCCAATGTTATAAGCTCAGTGGCTCATCCTGAGGTTTGCAGGACATCAATTAACTTAATTTAAGACTATTCTACTCTTCAAAAAAAGGAGGAGAAGGAGAGTGATCTCTTTTAAGAAGAAATTCATAAGCAGAAAAGTAACCACAATTTATAAAATATTAACAAAACTTTTTACAAAGAAGTACAGGGGCCATAGGTTAATGTCGCTTTCCTCTGATTATTAACCTACATTTTAAGGCAGAAACCACACATCTGAGTCCAAATCTCCCAAAAATCTCAAAGATGTACATGTTATACTTTTGTAGCAATAACAAACACAAGTACATGGGGAGAAGAATAGCATATTATTAAAAATTTATCTGCTTAGGGGCCAGCCTGGTGGCGCAGCAGTTAAGTTCGCACGTTCCACTTCTCGATGGCCCAGGGTTGGCTGGTTTAGATCCTGGGTGTGCACATGGCACCGCTTGGTAAAAGCCATGCTGTGGTAGGTGTCCCACACGTAAAATAGAGGAAGATGGGCATGGATGTTAGCTCAGGGCCAGTCTTCCTCAGCAAAAAGAGGAAGACTGGCAGTAGTTAGCTCAGGGCTAATCTTCCTCAAAGGAAGAAAAAAATTTATCTCCTTAATCATAAGAACAGAATTTTCCCCATATACAATATGAAGAGAATTTCATTGTAAGATACATGAGATTAAAATTATTTTAAAAGGAACAAGAGAAATAACACATAAGACAGTAACTCACATGTTACATGGAGCAATGGAAAATATTTTCAAATATTTTTCATGAATTCTAATAACACTAATAATTACCACTTGAACATTTTCCAATAACAGGAAACATTAGGAATGAAGTTACAGTCATCATGAGGTGTATTTTTATCTTTCACTTGGTGTCACTTTGTATGTTTAACATCACAAGAGCCAGTGTGCACTGCACACACAGTACTCCTATAGGTTACAAAACTCAGAAGCATATGAAATATACATATGAGATCCTTCTCAGATGCATTATAAATAACCATTCTATTTTTAAATCAATTTTAAATTATAGAGAAACCAGAATTTACTACTAAGATAATATTATCAGAAAATCATAAAAACATACCCTAAATAATAAAAATACATTTGGGAAAAACAAGAATAAATCTGTAGCAATCACATTTAAATTCTTAGAAAATAGGCAGAATACAAAACCTTAAAAATATTCATGGGATAAACATGTCATTAGATGTGCACTTACCAATTGTATAAAATAAATAGCAAAACCACCCTCAAATGTAAAACACAACTTTTTATTAAAATGTGATCAATATTTAAACAAACCCAAACACAATATGAGAAAGCAAGGACAGTAAACACACAGCAGTAACAGAGAGCATATCTGATCCTTTGTCCCCATCCCAGGGTAGATATCAAGAATCAATCAGTGCATTCCTTCTCCATGGGCCCAAATACCCTCAAAATCATTTCTAAAAAGAGCACTTCAGGTAGCCACTATCAAGAGACTACAACGAAAACTTAAATTAACCTATTTTCTATCCCTAATCAAGGATTTTAGTAACCTGAAACATTCAAACAGATTTTTAGGCAATTATTTGTTTTTGCTGAGCAAGATTAGCCCTGAGTTAACATCTGTGCCACTTCCTCCACTTTATTCCACAGCATGGCTGATGAATGGTATAGGTCTGTGCCTGGGATCCAAAACCACAAACCCGGGCCACTGAAGCAAAGTGCGCCAAACTTAACCACTATGCCACAGGGCTGGTCCCTTAGGCAAATATTTTTAAATCAGAAATGGTTATGTTTTCATATTATTTAGAATTCACTTAATCAAGAAAAAGGTTCCAATAAATTTTCCACTTCAAAAACAGGCTCTGTTGCTCAAACAACCACCACAAAACTAAGAGAATACAATGGCAAACTTAAATCCATTAGTAAGAAGAAATGGTAGATGTTACTTTCTTTTGAGAAAAAAAAGCACACTCTTTCTTTTAAGAGTATGCTTTGAGAGCTGACAATGAATATGGTAGGGTCATTAATAACAATACTGATAAAACAAAAAAAGTAATACCCTTTTCAATACAAGCAATACATTCTCTCATTCTCTACTCATGAAAGTAGGGGAGTGATATAAGGCATGAAAGGTCCTGGATTTTCATGGAACCACAACAAAATAAAGAGTAAAAGGTTGATTTATGGCATTAGCAAAGATACCAAAGTTAACACTTACTTTTGCAAAGGCTTCAAAAACGTCAAAGGAAGGTGGCAGCTGAGAAGCATCCTGTATTTCTTCTCTCATGAAATGTTGAAATGTCATTGCAAGTTGCCTAAGGCCCTCTTTCTTATCTTCAGTCAGTTTGTTAATATCTTTTTAAAAGAGAAAATAAATAGCACAATCACACAGTGAATTTTTAATGGATAATTCTCAGGTGTTCAATGGTAGCTGCTAACCCAGATGTTTCCTGCTCTAGATTCTATTCTGACAGAGAGCATACAAATCATGACACATACGTTATCAGTTAAATTTTGACAAACTTCATATACAATATAAGATCAGACACCTATCAAAACAAAATAAATATACAGATGAAAAAGAATTATAACCAAAATCAGTAAAGATGTGTGTTACCAGATTATCTACATCATCCTGTACATATGCTCAAATCATCATAAATTCTTATTTAGTCAGTGAATTTAAGCAGACTTTTCTGTGACGCAATTTACAACTAGGTCATGACTAACTGATAAATGGCATCATCTCAAAGGCAAAAAACAGAAATCAAGAACTAAAAAGTTCAACCAAAGTTCAAATACGCAGAATCCGTCATAAGAAAGTAGAGTCATGCGTTGCTTAATGATGGCCCCACATTCTGAGAAATGTGTTGTTAGGTGATTTCGTTATTGTACAAACATCATAGAGTGCACTTACACAAACCTAGATGGTATAGCTTACTATACACCTAGACTATATGATACCAATCTTACGGGCCCACCAACTTATATGCGGTCCATCATCGACGGAAATGTCATTATGCAGCACATGGCTATACATTGAAAAGAAATATGGATCAACCAAAGAAATGTCAACCTCAAGACATTTCCAGGTTGACTAACCAAGATATGGTGCTGCTTCAGCCCAAACAGGAGAAGGTTTCAAAGCCAATATCACTCCTTTAAAAACTCACTTTAATTTATACCACAAAAGGGTGTTAAGGCTAAGAGTGCACAATTCAATTAATGTTTGAGAGCACTTCATTTAAGGCAGCATGTATGACACAGCCACTAAGCAGGGCCAATGGTAATAGTAAAACACACTACAAGAGATATTAATTACCTAGCAGCAATATAAGAAGAAAAAAATGACTAATTAGTCCTCTATTAAAACTTGAAAAGATACATCAAGTTGAGCTATAGCGTAACTCTGTTGCTCATATCAGGTCTACATATTGTCTTTAAATTACCTGTTCAACAGAACAATTAACCAACGATTTCTTAAATAATAATTAACTTTGGCACTTAGGATTCCATAGCCATAAATCTGTAGCAGCTCATCTTCTTATTTGTCACCATCCAGAAACATTAAACTGTGTAAGAAATTTGCTCTATAAGCTCTGGTGACTTTGGGGTTGAAGTAATTTGCAACAATGAAGAGGATCTGTGCCAATAAATAAACCCTACATTTACTTCACACTTTTTGGAAAGCCTTTCAGTGTTCCCAAGTAGCTTGGCCACCACCATGGTGGTTCAGAAGAACACCACTCAATGCTGTCAGAGAGCATAAGTCATATGTACCTTCTGCTTTCCTTATTATCTAAAGGACCAGTGAACCTAAATGTTCCCGGGAATCCCCGTTCACATCACTGTTCCCTGACATCAAAAAGAAATCAAAAGTGGGAGGAAGGGAGGAACAGAGGGAGAAAAGAAGAAAAACTATTCTGTCTACTGGACTAAAGGCTACAGTCCCCTCCCTGCCTACCCTGGACACCTTTATGGTACTTTACAAATTCTTATATGGCCAAAACTACCCTGGAATAAATTAAATAAGCTAATGTGCCAGTGGTATTTAAAAACATGAAAAGTTTTGTTAGATTTGCCTCACATAATAAAGAGACAGAAAAGCAAAGTTAAAAGTAAAGCAATTCACTAGCTCAGCAAATAAGTGAGAGGAATTTTCTAAGATGCTGATAATCAATCACTTACTTGACTCCAGATCATAAAATGAGTAAAGCTTCTCCGATTCGGAGGGTGTTTCTTCCATCTATGAAGTAAAGGGGGAGAACAGCAAAAACAATTTCAAGTATTCCAATATATAAATGAATCTTTAGATATTTAAATGAAAGTTTCTTAAAAAGACAATTTTCTATATATTCCCTCTCTTCAACATTTTCTTAGAGTTGAATTATTTAATCGGTAACAATTTTAAAGTAAAATCTAAGTTGTGACTTAACCCACCAGTTTAACTCCCAAATACAAAACTCTTTTACAAAAAATTTTCAAATTCTTCCCCCATCTCTACCCACAAACTTGTAATGACTGTAAGAATTTTACTACTAATTATTACAGAGAAGCAGAAATGGAAGAATAAAAATAGGAATTTATGACAAACTGTGCAATATTGGGTGAGTGCCTTGACCCTGAGGAGTCAATTTCCTTACCTGAAACTTAGGAGTAATAACAGCACCCGGCTCACTGGGGGTGGTTGTGGGGAAGTAATGAGGCATATCATGTAAGGCAATCAGCACAGGCGCTGGACACAGTCAGTGAGCAATAGGAGGCAGCTCTTATTCTAACTGCTTTGTGCTAGATTTTGATTTGGCAGGTCAGGGATGCAGACTGAGAACTACTACCTCAGGTGATTCTGAAGCAACTCATTTCTGCTCTAACAGTGGATCTCCTTCTTTTCAATATTAAAAAGGTAAAAAAATGCTCAGACTCAAATACAATGGCAACTATACTTTTATCATCCAGTGATTAAGGAAATGCATAAGGACAAAGTTGATCTAAATTTATAAATGCTTTGAAATAAATTTTTATTTTTTGGTTCACCACAACATATACATCTGAAAATAGTAGTAAGTAGATGTGACAGATGTTATATACTCAGTCCAAAGACAATGCCCATTTGGTATTCCAAATCCAGTTTTTTAATTGAGATATAATTGACTTATAACATTGTATTAGTTTTAGGTGTGTAATCATACTTTCACATTATTAAAGCCCTTTATTATAAAACTTTATAGCCAAAAAAAGTCAATAAACAACAGATAGAATGGAGATGGAGCCTGAAATTGTTGGAGAAAAAGATAATTCATGCTAAAGCTTGGCAAAAAAATCTAGAAAGCGTCAACAGAGGAGAATTTCACAGAATCCATTAGAGTAGGAAAAGGGACTGAAGAAATAATTTCAATGAATCTTGGCTATTAAAAAAATATATAAGCACTCTTCCATGTAAGATTAATTATCATCTAATTAAAATTTCTCACTTGAAGAGGCAACTGAAAAAATTATATTCTTGCCCTGTGCATTAATTCACAGTAGAAAAGTAATAAAGGCAACATAATAGATATTACTAACATCTCCTGCCCCAAATATAGGACCTTCTGTCTCTATTTCCAGGAGATCATAGGCCTTCAGAGAGGGGCCATGCACTTCATCGCTGCCACTGATGCTGGGATTAATAGGAAAAGAGCAAGTTTTTGTCTTAAGATACTCCCTGAAATAATCCACCTTCTACTTTAACATGGGTTTAAATTCAGCCTTAAATAGGAGTTGTTTAAAAATTAAAACCCCAAGCATGTTTCACAAGTTTTATACTCACAAGTTTGAAAACAACTCTGCCAAGAAGTCGCACAGAGTCTGGAGGATATCTGGGTTTGCAGCTTTTAAGGCATTTGCATTCCCGCTTGTGGTCCTGCCAAGCTTTTTTCTGTACAGACAAAAGTGAGGAGGGCATATGAGACATAAAAATTTAACTTCCATTTAAACTGGTTTTGAACATTGAGAGTCATCACCATTAATTTAATTTCAACAGCCTAAATATAACTGCAAAATAGAACATGAAAGCAATATTCTAATACTGTTAATGATCTAGGAGACAGTCTTTTCCAAGTATGCAATTACCAGCCATGGACATTAAGAGCTTCAACGTTACCTTTGTCCTTTAATTTGCCCTCTGGTTATTACCTGGCTCGTGGAGTCCAATGAAAGGATTACTGGGGCTTAGTTAACAATTTATGACATAGCCCTTTAGCTGATTAAATAGAATTCAATAATAGACAGTGATTTTGAATACGAAAGGAAAATTTCCAAATTAGAAAGTAAAACACATGATTCGGAAAAATCAAAACAGGGCGGACAGCCTTCTGAATTTCTGTGCTGCTGTAACGAGTACAGAAATATCAGGAGGGCTAACATACCAAAAAATATAAAATCTTTTTGTTTTTGAAGACAACACAGAAATAGGTTATTAGCTACAATGATCAAATGTCCAGTTTGCCCAGGACTGTCTTGGTTTATACCTGTTGTCCTGGCTTAATTATTAATAGTGCCCCTATTAAAAGTGTTGGTTTAGATGATAAATTACACAGTCACTTAACCCATGATCCTAGCCATGTGCTGATGTGGCTGAAGAGACCAGTGAGCCTGTCACCAATCTTACAACAGTAGGGATAGGAGGACTAAAGGAAAGGACATTCTCTCCCTGCGTCTTGGGTGTTGGATATGCCATGGCTTCCTTTACACGGGATTACTTCTATACAGAAATAAACTCCAGAGTATCTAATACTTAGCCCTGGTGAGTAGCTAATATGTTCTATTCCAGCTGAGAGCTGGAAGTTCCATCACTGAAAAACCTGATGCTCCTACACGTCTTATTTCAGAAATTGTAAACCCGCTACCCAACTTCTGGGCCTATAAAATCCCCCTAGGAGGCGCTCTTTTCTACTTACAGCACAATCAAAAGTTTCAAAAGAGGGGACGGCCCAGTGGCGCAGCGGTTAAGTGTGCACGTTCCGCTTCAGCGGCCCGGGGTTCGCCAGTTCGGATCCCGGGTGCAGACATGGCACCGCGTGGCAAGCCATGCTCTGGGAGGTGGCCCACATAGAAAATAGAGGAAGATGGGGACGGATGTTAGCTCAGGGCCAGTCTTCCTCAGAAAAAAAGAGGAGGATTGGCAGCAGTTAGCTCAGGGCTAATCTTCCTCGGAAAAAAAAAAAATTCAAAAGAGCTGTAGCTTCTATGACTCAGATTCAAGTTTGCTCAAAAAGATTGCCTGTGGCGAGCTGTTGGGTGACAGCTTGGCCTGTCTGCAGCTATTTTTAAGTAACCCAAATCTTGAAGATACTGTTTACAAGGGGTACATCACTTCTTTCATTAACTTTACTGACGGCTGCTTCACTTCATTCCCTCTTTTCCACTATGGCAATGCTCTTAACATGATGTTTGTAATTTTTTTTAATATTTATACTTTATTCACTTCTAAACAAGACTGAATTGCTTCAAAGTAAAGATATGTATGAAATAAAATTGTAAAATTAAAAAGAGAAAATGTCATAATTATGGGGAAAAAAAGTCCTCTACCATTTACTTAACATCCTACAGTGTGTCAGTCATATGGCTAAGCAATTAACAGAGGACATTTCATCTGATTTTTATAGTAATCTGAATGGTAGCTATTATCCTTATATTAGAGATGAAGAAAGTAATGCTCAAGAGCTGGGATCTCAGCTACAGAAATACAAAAGGAGAGAGTAAAAATTCTTAGTATGCTAAACATGAGAGCTAAAGAATTACCACATTTGTGCATTACATTTATTTGAGTTGCCTTATAGGCAAGGCAAAAAAGGAAGCATAATCACTTACATAATTCTCATACGAAAAAAAACACATCACTTTACTAAGTATTAACTCACAGGAGGAATTTATTCCAAGAATACTAATCAACATACTGGACAATGTTTTCAACAACAGTTTACAACTATCATGGCTTTTCATAGTTACTTGTAAAGTCAGTACTCACTAAAAGGCATAATATTAAAATACAACACAGTGAAAGAAAATGTTTCTATTGTTCAAGGGGCCAGTCTCGGACTTGCAATTAGCAATTACCAACATGTATAAGATGCCTAAAACAAATATGGTTCCATTGTCAAATAAGTTTGAAAAACGCTACCTAATGTAGATCTTGCTTAGAGATTTGAAATATTTTAGGTTATGAAAAGTTATAAAAAGCTCTGCATTAAAGGAACTTGTATAAATTATTTAACAGAGTTTCTCATGATTGTTATCGACATCTTTGGGAACTTAGGTTGGACATACTGACTCAGATATACCTACATACTTTCCTTCATTTATCTGGTCTTTGAATGACAGTGGGTTACGTAAACAAATTTACAGTCATTTATACTGACAGGAAACTAGAGTGTTGATATTTTTGATTACTGACTGAAGGGAGAACCCTAACTTTGGTGGAAGAGTCTTCATTTGGTATTAAAAGTCAAGAAGCCTGATAGATACCCTGAATGGACAGGCTCTGTGGGCAGGAATGAACCACATAGTGCCACTGGGTCTCTGAGAAAGCAACTCTGGCTCTACTCAAAGCCTGAGTAAGTGTCCAGCTGAAAAAAGACTGCACCTAGTAAAGTAAAGGAGACAGAATTTGGACCAAAAGATCTTCAGAGCAGATTTTAACCAATGCTTGTCTCAGCCACAAGAGAGCATCCATAACTCCTATGTTAAAACCAGTTTGAACAGCTCAGCCTCCTGGTAGCTTACGAGGGTGAGGCTAGGTAACAAACCAGTTGATCTCTTAGATAGAATTAAACATGCAGATTTTGGAGAATTCTTCTCAAAGTCAAAAATGACTTGAGGTCTTTAATATAACTAATATTGAGCTCTCATTTCTCAACAGTAATTAAAAACTAGACAATATGTTTTTTAAGGCTACTTGTAGATCTTTGCATGAATACATTGGACAACATACTTATCTTCCCATTTGCTTCAGCAAAAAGATGTTCATTCTTTTCATCCAAAAGCCAAATCAGATCATTTAGGTATAAATATAGAAAGCAATCATGCCGCTGAAATTAATCTATAATATAATGTCAACTTTACAGCCTACTGTATGTCTTAACATGATATTAAAAACTATGTTTGAAAAAGTTGTTAGGATTTATCATTTACCTTCACACATCACATCTTACCATAAGGCTTACTAATATAAGCATACCACAGAAAAGGCAAACAAAGAAATCTTTTAAGCAACTGCGTTAGACTTTGAAGCAAAACCTCACTATCATATGAGAACATTAGGCATTATCTTCACTCTACAAACTTTAACCTCAGTCTAGACCTTAACAGCACATTCTCAAAGACAACCTTCTTCATTTACTTTTTCTTATTCTATTACTGCAAATAAAGGATGTAATCAAGATTTTATTCACAATACTGGCTGTAATGTTTTCTGTTCTCATAGTTGAAAATTAACAATGATATACAATAAGCACAAATTAGCATGCGAGGCAAAGGAAATTAAAGTATTGCATTAAGAAACAAAGACAGGAGACAGTTTTAGATGGGAAAGCAGGAGATGAAGACATCTATGACTCAATTTCATGTATCAGTACCTGCATGACTCAAAAAACAACTTTAGAATCTATATATTGCCATGTGTTTTTCAGTATATATAATGATTCAGAACATAAAATAATTAAACCAGTGGTTCTCAAGAGGGGAATCCCAATCTTAAGGATTCTTTGGGAAATTTATGGGAGTATCTCTGTTGTCACAATGCTTGGGGAGTACCATGGGCACTTACTGGTCAGGAACCAGAGATGCCAGACACCCTATGTATGACAATTCCATATGGTGATGAATTTTTCCAAACCTAATGACTTTTAAATGTCCCATCAGACATTCTATGAAGGTGACAAACTTGTTTATAATTATCGGAGCCTAGAACTAAATCTCCTTTTAGATATAAAAACAAAGAGTTGGCTTTTTACATACTCTTAATAGCACTGAATCTCCTAGGTAAATCAAGGGAAGACTGCATTTTAAAAACTTTAGCTAAGGTTATTCAATATATTTCATAAAATCATATCATTGAAGGCAATACCACTTGTAATATAGTCATGCACAGCATAACGATGTTTCAGTCAAGAACACACTACATATATAACGTGATCCAATAAGACTAGTACCATATGGCCTAGGTGTGCAGTAGACTATACAATCTAGGTGTGTGTAAGTACACACTATCATGTTCGCACAACAACGAAATCACCTAAAGACTCATTTCTCAGAACTTATCCCATTGTTAAGCGAGGCATAACCACATTTGAGATACCAATATAAAACATCTTCTGATCTGCATTTCATACTTCCCTTCTCCAGCGACTCTGTATGGGTGCAAGTATATGACTTGCTAATTATGTATTCTAGTCTAGTCACACCTAAGCATTTACATATTAAAATACATCTTATTTTAAGTTGTTTTAATTTTCTTTCTCCTTTATATTCCAGTAATGGCATTATATTGATATTGAATATTGAAAATATATAACTAGGTAGATTGTATTACCTATGGAATTTCATTTCAAGAGAGTAGAGAAGACAAGAAAAGTATTTGTCATAGAAAGTTAGAGTTAGGTCTGAGAGAGCTGAAAACCCCAGATCTAGAACCCAGCTATACAGTTATACACACCACACATACACATAAATATATATATTTTAGATGCACAGCCTGGGGCCCAGTCCAGAGATTCTGACAGTACTGAAGGGAGAGGATCAGGTTCTGAATTGTTTTTAATCACTGCAGAGGATTTTATGTGTAGATAAGGTTGAAAAATCACTGAGCCAGACCAAATTACAAAGGAGTTTATCATATATATTAAATAGATGAAACAACAAAATACTAGTCTATAAAAT